TTCTTATAATAATAATATTATATATAATATTTATTAATATCTTCGGTTTGGTTTGGTTAAACCGTGATTTTGAATATTGCAAACCGTACATTGAACCATATATTTTGGTTTGATTTGGGTTCAAACCGATGACAAAAAAAAAAAGAAAAAAAAACCAAACCAACCCAACCCATCGATTTGGTTTGGGCGGGTTGGCCGCGTTTCGGGTCCAAATGCCCATCCCTACTTTCAAGTTTTGGAAAATGCCCATCCCTACTTTCAAGTACTTTTCCAAAAGAACGCTTTGATTTGTCATTAAAATTTTGATACTCTTTTAATGTTACTTTTAAAGAAATGCTTATTAGCGAAAGTGCTTCTTAACAAAATAAATTCCAAACGAGCCTTTCATAAGTTTTATAATTCTAATTATAATTATAATTTAATCAGAAATTGTGTTGAAACGCAGCGTTCCGTCTCGGACAGAGAGATTTAACATTGGAGAGGGAGGGAGAGTCGAAAAGTCGGTCTTCAAATTAACCCTAGAAATGTAACCTTAACCACGATCTCTGGTAAAAAAAAGATTTAGGCGGGAAAACCCTCGAAACAACATTTCACCCCAACTTTAATTGCCCACAACTCTCCCTCCCTTTTCATTGAATTTCATCATCCGCTTCGTTTCTTCTCCCTCTCTCTCTAAGCATATCTTTGTCCGTGCGGTATGGCTGGGGGTCGCCGGAGGCGGGAGGCGAACGACGTCGTCAAAGAAGAAAAGAGGTCAGCGAAGGAAGACGTGGAAGTGATGGTTTTGGAGGAAGAAGAGGAAAAAGAGAAAAAAGAGGAAGATCCTCTAAAGGCTCAGGTCGCGAAGCTTCGTCAGCGATGGGAACTGGCCTCCGTCCTCGACTTCTTGATCGTAAGATCCTATTTTGTTGGTTTCACAGAGAGAGGTCGCATTTTTTATTCTGCATTTGTTTTCGTTTTGTAATGTTGGTGTTGTTTTGGTAGGTTTTTGAGCCAGTGGTTGGGAAGGCTGCGAAAATATCAGCTGAAGAGATCGAGATGGGTTTGATAAACCCAGGCGGTGCACTTGCTCAGCTTCACATTGCCCTGTTGAAGGTTAAAAAATTTCTTTTATCATATATATTAGTTTGTTTGATTTTACTATATGCTTCTTAAGTTGTTTACAACTTTATATGAAACACCATTGCCTCTGGAGCGATTAGAATGTGTGAGCAAAGGCTTATAGTTGTTGGTGCATTTGTGTTTTACATTTTGCTATTACTCATTGGCATTGAATGGGCATCTGATTTGGTGTTTGTTGTTTTCATTTAACGAGATATGTGATTGTTGCGAATATATGGAATATTGTTAGATGAAGACAAGGGTGAGAAATGGTGTCTAATGGTTTCTTTGCTTTGTTTATTTTTGGGGGATTAGGCAGAATTGTGCCTCAATGGGTTTTCTTAAGTCATGGATTTGTAGAATGTGATACATATGGTAAATATGATAATTTAATTATTTAAGTGATATATTACTATATATGTTCAGTCTAGTAATGCTGTTTTGCCTAAGCTTAACTTAAGAATCTAATAGTTGAACTGTGTCATATTCTTTCATTCAAAGATTGATTTTGTTTACCCAAGTTTAAATATCTTTCTCTGTTTAGACTATGATAGATGATTGACTGAATAATCGGTTTTGGGTAAGACAAAAATGAAGTCAGTTTTATTACTGATTACGGAGAGTTTTTGGACTAAAAAACAAACAGGATAGTCTCGGTAGGAATACATCGATTTCAAAAATCATAAAGAAAACAATTTGATTTGTTTTCAGCTGGGTCTGAAATCCCTACCTATACAAAATATTCGTCTTTTCTTATTTTCTTTCCTTTTCCACATATGATCATCTTCATGTCATTCTAACCTGTGTTCTTTCCAGGGAATACCACCTGCAAGTAAAGCATTGGATGGCTCTGATGCATGGGTGACTGTGCTTTGTAAGAAACTTGCAACATGGTGGCCATGGGTGAGTTGTTTTAGAATCTAGGAGTTTGACTCCTTTTGCCCCCTTTCTTTATATGGCCTGTGTATAACCTGCAGCAATATATTTTCTCTTTACTGCAGGTTGCTGAAGGGGAGATTCCGCTAGTGGCAGCTAAACGGTATTGACAATGTGTTAGTTTGACTGTATTTAATCTGATTTGGTTTTTTTTTTTTTAAAAATCAACTATAATTTTTGCCATTTGTGCTGTTTTTGCAGAGAAGAGATATCTCGTTACAAGGAACTCGATCCAACAAAACGCTTACTACTCTTAAAAGCACTTTGTGAACTCAGAGCTGATGTACTAAGTCCTACCTCTTTTTTCCTGTATTTGTTTCTATATGTCTAGGTGGTTTACATGCTTTTTAACCATTGGATCACCTAACTTTATGTTACAATTGCATTATACCTGAACATGTGATTGTATGTTGGAAGTATATATGGGAGTTTGATATAAGTAAATTTTGTTGTTGTTGTTGAAAGATAGTGTGATATAAATAACTCTTTTTTTTTTTTGTTCCCAGCAAGATGATGCATTAGCTTATATTAATGATGCTCTGAAACAAGGAACTGAAGTTTCTTTCTTTCGCAAAAGTAAGATAGGAGGAGATGGAAATGGAACTTCCTATTGGTAATATTTTGATATGTTATTAATTTTATGCCTTTGATAGCACAATCAGTTGTAATACCAGTTACTGCATTCATTTCAGGTATGAGGGAACTACGATTACTGGTCATAGATTATACAAGGAAGTAACTGCCCTTGAGTCAAAGGCAAAGGGCAGGGGAAAAGGATGTTTAAACCTAGCAAATGTTAGTCTCCAGTGGGAAACACTGGCAACCAATCTCCAGGAATTTCGTAAAGTTGTAGTAAGTCAAAAGTTTTGTTTATCACAAGACTAAAATCAATATTCAATTGTTGGTAGACTTCTTGTTCACCGGGGTTTTGTACTTTGTTTTATGAGTATTATTAATAAAATTTGTTTCTCATAAAAGAAATTATCCCTTCCCTGTCATGGTAGGATGAACTCTCATCAAGCAAAGTTGTAGCAGATGTTTCTGTTGCTAAGACTATTGAAACCAATGCTATTCCTGTTCTTGAGAAACTTCAGAAGGTAAACTTTTGCAGTGGCTGTTAATTTAACTTTTGCAGTGGCTGTTAATTTTGAAATTGTGGGCACCTTCGTTAGCAGTGAACCTTATGCAACAGCTTAGGCTTGTGTTGTTTATACTAAAACTGTTGTATTCTACAGAAGAAAGAAAGGGCACTAAAGCAGAAAGAAAGGCAAGAGAGGCATCTGAATAATTTGAGAAATTCTTCTGGTGCTGGAACTACTCGTTCCTGTCGCAACCGTAGGCCTGTCAGCTACACATTTGGTATGATGAAAATTTTGTTTGGCTAGCTCCTTCTCAACATGTGACATTGCTCCAATAATTTTGATTGCATCAAACACTGGCCCTAACTCTAACTGATTGTTTATAAATGATGTCTGGGAATTTAGAGGAGTTTCAGGGTAAGGTTTGAACTTGAGAACAGATATTTTATTTCTTTATCCGTTATGATCAATGATTGTTAATTTATTCTGTATGTATCCTGTTATCACTCTATATTTCCTTATCTCCTTATTTTTTATCCTTACATTCTAAGAGAGATTTTGTTTTGAATAATGCGCAGATGAGTACGATCGGGCTATTCATGAGGCTATTAAAGTAACAAAGTAAGACTTCTGTAATAGTTCTGGATACTTTGCATAGTCCCCATTTTTTGTGACCCTCCTTGCATATTGCATGGTTTCAAGTACATTTTGTATTCTTAGAAAATGATTTTCATCAGCATATGAAGGTTACTACTGAAAGGATGTTATTGTTCTGGATGTATGCTACATTTTTTTCACAATTTTCTTTCATGTCTGTTCATTACTCTAAAACTTGTTCTTGATTCTTTATGTGGCCTCTTTGTGGCCAAGTCTGCTAGTTTGTTTCCACATTATGTTACATTTCTCACCAATTGTAAATCATACTTGGGGTCCAGCGGGAAGAGAACTGCCGACGAGAAAAGGCAAGAGGGTAAGCGTAGAAGAAATGGCACTGACGCTAATGGTGCCCCGGAGAGAGACACAAACTCAGAAGACAATTCAGGTAAAAAAAGTGATTCCAACGACAGTGACGCCAATGATTCTGGTAAGAAGGATGACTCTGCGGGCAGTGACACTGCGAGCGACAGGATTGAAGAAGTTGCTAGTGATGATGATGATAACAATTGGGATGATGGTGGAACAAAGGATGAAGATAAGGGTGACCATAGTGACTCAGGCAAATCTGAGACAGACAAGAACCATGCTCAAACTGTTAGTATTGTCCTAAAGCCTATGGGTGTGCGCTGGAGTAAAAGACTAGCTGGAGACACTAGCCATCCAGTTCTGGAAAACAGAAACTTGGGCACCAAGAATAGGTCGAGACAAAGACCCATCTGTAACTCTGCTCTTGATTCTGTTGTAAGACAAGACTCCGATGATGAGAACTCATCGGAACATGCAAACGGTGAGATAGTGGGGCACGACGAATCGCCAGTTACTGATCCAGAAGAGGTCAGTGAAAGCTGAAAGCACTCTAAAGCAGAACCACTCAGGTCATTATACAGTCTAAGTTGATTTTCCTCAAAACTTTGTATTCAGGAGGAAACTTTTGGAACAATCGTTTGTAAATGCAATAGGACTTCTTTTTGTTTCCCATGGCATCCATCATGTCTCAGTTTCAGAAATTGATCTGTTCATGCCGCGTAGTCCCTGCTAAATCCCTTTTGTTTGTATTTACTGGGACACCATTGTTAATTTATGCCAGATGATTTATACTAATTCATCTGCTAATTTCTGGGGATGTGAAGCTTGATTATTTATGCATCATAAAATGTCACTTAAAATTTTTCTTAACGACATCAAGTTATGCAGATATTGAAATTGGAGTAGAAACTCACCAAAGCATAAATTTATAGTAAAATTTTAGAGCAGCTGATAATTATTGCAAATTATGGGATGACAGAGCTCTCAATATTCTCTCTCAAATTCATAAACAACTACACTCTTAATCAAAGCAATTAGCATTTAACTATCCACTAATCATGGTCCCAGCTCCTTCATCAGTCAAAATCTCAAGCAACAAAGAATGGGGCACTCTCCCATCAACAATGCTAGCAGTCCTCACCCCCTGAGCCAAAGACCTTACACAGCAATTCACTTTTGGTATCATACCCCCACCAATTGTCCCCTCCTCCACCATCTTCTTCACTCCCTTGATGTCAATCTCCTTCACCAAGCTAGACGCGTCGTTTCGATCGCTCAAGATCCCCGCCACGTCCGTCAGCAGAATCAGCTTCTCCGCCCCCAGCGCCGCCGCCAGCTCCCCCGCCACCGTGTCCGCATTGATATTGTACTGCTGCCCCGTCTCGTCCGCCGCCACCGATGCGATCACGGGGATGTGGCCGTCGTTCACGATCGACCACAGCACAGTGGGGTCCACCCGAGC